ACAAAGAAGATGATGGTGATGGTGATGATGATGATGATGATGATGATGATGATGGGTTTGAGAAAGAGGATGATGATGATGATGGGTTTGAGAAAGAAGATAATGGTGATGGGTTTGAGAAAGAAGATAATGATGATGGGCTTGAGAAAGAAGATGATGGTGATGATGATGATGATGATGATGATGATGATGATGACGATGACGGGTTTGAGAAAGGATGGCGATGATGATGGGTTGGAGAAAGAAGATAATGATGATGGTTTGAGAAAGAAGATGATGGTGATGATGGGTTTGGAAACGAAGCCGAGTAAGTGGGTGACGATGACGATGTGTGTAGATGGAGAGGATGACGAGGAGGAAAGTAGACCTATTACCGCTGATTATCCCTCTTTTCTGCGCATTTGGGATTTTGTCGTTTTGTTTCATCGCTTAAATATTTTATAGTCATGTGTACAGTGTACTTGTTCTTCTTATTGGTTTTCACACAAAACAGGTGCTTATGGTCCTGGCTCCTTGTCCTTTCTGTGCGCGGTTGAGCTTTGGTGATGTCCATGCAGCTGCTGTGATGTCTTTGCTCTGTGCATGTCTTGTGCACGTTATGAGTGCTATGAGTACAATGAGCTGAACTTTTTTTTTTTTTTTTTTTTTTTTGCGTGACGGCGTGTATTGTTTCAGCCCCTCGTTTGTTGTCCTCTTCGTCCTCTCTGTCTACGGGTCACTGACAAGTTCTCTTTGACGATATATGTCTTTTTTTTTTAATGACGATAGTCGATATGACACACGGGGGTGGGGGCAKCCGCCGCTCAACCTACATCCACGTGGGCGGCCTTGTACGCAAGAGGTTCTGAACAGGGGGAGTTATAAGGAAGAAGATAGAAAAAATAATTCATTTTTTTCTTTCTTTCTTTCTTTGGTTCTTTTTTTCGCTTTTGCGCTCTGATATGCTTGTGACGATATATATCGATGCAAATATAGTCTACTCTACTTTATTTATTAAAAAAATTATATATACATATATGTTCGTTTCTTCAACTCCTGTATCTGTTGGTAGTGTCGAAATCTTAATCTGTCCTACAACAAGTGAGGTTTGGTTTCCTCCTCCTTTTCTTTACCTCGTTTGCCTTTTGGCAGCGTGCTTGTGGGTCCTTGTGAAACACACGGGGATGGGCCCAGCCGGTGCTCAACCTGTCATTCACGTGGCCGGCCTCATCCACGTGGCCGGCCTCGTACGTAAGAGGTGATGAACATGCGGAGCTTCCCTTCCTTCCTTACATCTTTCCTTTTTCTGTTCTGTTTTTTTTTTTGCCTTTGCGCTTTGATACACGGTGTGACACATCCACGTGGGCGGCCTTGTACGCAAGAGGTTCTGAACAGGGTTAGTTGTAAAGGAGAAGATTAAAAAATGAATTGATGTCTTTTTTTGTTTTTTTCGCTTTTGCGCTCTGATAACTTTGTGACAATATATATTGCCAAGGTGCAGGCCTGGCGTCCCTTGAAAAGAGTGCGGGCCGGCCAGCGAACACAAGGGGCAGGCATCATCGCCCAAGTTCGGTGGTGGGGACCACACAGCGTCAACCAAGTGTCTACAGATTGTCAGCAAAGTGGTGATAAGGCCACAGAAAATCCCATCAGAAGAAGAAGTGAAAGCTCCGTAACAGAATAATTAAGAGAAAGTTATTGGGCACCACAAAGTCCACCGTGGCATTTTTAATTATTACTGTTAAAAAAAAAAAAAAAAAAGTCCTACTACTCCTTTGCGGCTCCCCTGGCGGGCCTG